TGCATATTTATTATTTCCATAGCACATAGAATTCACTGTGCTGATCGCGAATTGGCTTATCGATGTCTGTTTCTATATAACACCTCGCACGATTCTCCATGTAAAACCGCGTAGGTGTGTAATCGGCCGTGGCTGAGTGCGGAGCGCAGGTTAATTACCGATAATTGCTTATATATACCTGCGGTGGTGAGAGTAGAGTCCGGTCACGTGACCCTGCCCCGTGCAGCCTGGGGTCGGGCACTTGTTGCCCTCTGCAACAAATCAAATCGCCACGCAGAGCCCGATGTTAGTCTATTAAATGCCATTTCAGATATTCATGAGATACGATGTACGTTAGTTTTTACCCGCGCATAGCGATTAAGCTCGTACGGTAGCTCTATACAAGGCTTACTCCTATCTAGGGTTAAGCTAATTAAATTTTTAGTACGTAAGTGCGCAAAGTGTATTACTCAGATATTGTCTCGTTAAAATAAATCAGTCACACAATTCATTTATCTTGTTATAATCATAACACTTCTCCACAAAGAAAAGCGATATAGATTGAAATTTCATATTACGTGCGGACTGCGTTCTAAATATTTCGACTTTCAATCAGGAAAAGTGTATGAGTTGAATTCAAATAAAAAAATGAAAGACACTAAAAACAGTAAATAATAATAAATCAAAATAATAATCATAATATTAGGAGTCTAATATAACTCCATAATAAGATTAATATTACGTTACTTTTATGCTTAAAACTTAAAAGAAGCAATTTGTCATTAATTCTAGTCAACTTATGTTTAATATTGCTATAAATAATTAATTTTAAAATACAATTTTCTTTCTTCTTTTCTAAACAATTTTATATTTTTTACTTGCATTACGTTTCTTGAGGAAATGCAATAAAATTTCTAAACAACATATTCCATAGATCCACATAGAAAATAGAGAATGTTTATTTTGAGCACTACATATAATTGCTAATTGAGATGTAATGAAGATGTAATGAATTTTAAGTCAAATTTTAAGAAAGTGAAAATGTGATAGAAGAAATGTATGCCAATTGTGCATTTTGATATTAACGATATATTATACGATAATAAACCGAGAGCTCGGCATTACGCTGTCTCTGCAACGCGTTATTTCTGCATCGCAATCGATGATCCCGACACAAGCGGACAGCTAATTCTGAATAAATTGGATATTTACACTGTCGATGAGTGTTGTTTCGCGGTAGGAACGTGTCGACCGGAATACGGTGTCAGCTTAATACGCATTAATGCTTTGTTGTTACATTTGGTTTCATAATCTTGCACTTGCAGCCAATTGACGTACGCAATCTGCTTTTCCCGAATGGGCGTACATATCTAATATTTTAAGCGGAGACATTATTGTAATGTAAAGGCTTTACAGAGTCTTTCGTTTTAGATAAGAAACTGTACACCAGCAATATACTTATGAAACATCTTTTGTTTTTTCTAAATTTCAAAAATAATTATATAAAGAGAAACAATATTATTTAATAAATAACAATAATATTGTTTTATAAATGAAATAATTTATAATTAATATTGTAGTTGTATATCTAAAGAGATATTGATTAACTATTGTATCATAAGCATGAAAATATGCGATAAGAAATGGGTGAGCATTGGAAAGTATATGAAAAATAATATGGTATTTCGGTATGCTTGCACGGTAACTGCTAGCGACGTGAGCAGTTGAATGGAAATTAACTATTGAATGGCTGACAGCCGACGTGTCCGACATCGTCGCGTAGTTTCATTCTGCACACTTCGAACTAGAATATAGCTTACTCCCCGTTTGCCAATATATCACGTTATCCTTCATAGAGAACGTTGAACAGCCAAGGTGAAAGACTGCAAGCAAGTATGGTGAGACACGTCTATTTCATATTAAAATCTTATTTGTAAAAATTTCGTCTCCCTCCCTCCCTCCTAGATTAAAATTATTTGTATTAAAGTAAATTATATGTGATTATTTTATAAATATGTTATAAATATGCAATAAGCAGAAATAATATTGATGTAATACATCATTTTCATTATATTTTGCGTAATATTATAATTTTTAAAATAATTAATTCATATGTTCAAATCGCCTCGTCAGAATTTGATATATAATTTGATAATATAAAGAAATTCGAGATTAACGTGCCTATAAATTCTAAAAACTTTTGCATTTTTATAGCATCTAATTGTATTTCATTTTTTACGATTATTAATTACAAAGTAAATAAATGTTTGAAGATAAACACACATTTTGAATATATTGTATATTCCAAATATAAAAATATTGCTTGTATATGATTTTTTCACGTTTCGTAATAACAATTTATAATAAATGTTATGCTCTCAATTCCTCTGTCTGCAATAACCTTTAGAGATACATTTCGGAAAGAGATTCCAAAAAATTTTTGTAAGGTTTTGTCGGGCGTACATGCTATTTAGTAGCATTTTTCAGGATGAGTTTCCCCAATCCTGTGGCGAGAGGCCCCAAGTGAAAGTTGAAAGGACGGTCCAGAAGGGTGGAAATGGCCTCGCGTGTGGTCAGCCTGGATCTCGTCGCACGAGTTACGCATTTGTGAATAGCCTCTGGGATTTCTCTGTCCCGTGACTAAGCCTTCGGGATTAGCACGGGGTATGTGGCCGGCCTACAACTGTCCGCGAAACAAAGAACAGATAGATACCTCATTCCCGCGCGACAGAACGAAACTTGCAGCGATCGGGGAAAAAGTTTCGCCACGTGATATTTCGTTCCTCCTATCTATGCATTATTTTCCGTATCATTTGCTATTCGTCAGTATTATTCGACCGAGTAAAAAAATCTCACTCTCGATAACAGTAGGTAAATTTTTGCTCGTGAATTGCGAATATCTCCATTTGTGAGTGAGTTGTCGCAGAGAGACATGCACGACACGATGCTTTTCGTCAGGGTTTATTTAAAGACACACAATCCTTACCATTAGAGATCTGCAGAGAGCTGATAATTCGCGTCGGTAATTTCTAAATTTTTTTCGAGACTTTTTTAAGTCCTTTCTTGCGACACGAAAGTATGACCGATGCCCAAACGACCAATTGTACGTACCATCTGTCGTGCGCTAGTTCTAACTTAATGGTGGGTATAGTGCTCGTCACGTATGATCGCGTTCGTATTCCCGTTCAGCCTCGCGTGACCAAACAATTACAGGTTTCTAGTGCACTGCAGGTAGCCGAGAAGTATCAATCGGTTAATATGAGACCTTTCGGCAAGGCTCTCTTTATTTCAATCGTGAACGATAAATGTAACTAAAGGTTTCTATCTAATCGTTAAACAGTGTAATCATCTTTCAGTGGCTGAAAGTTATATCAGGTACTACTATGTTCCATTCACATGCTATAGCTTCAAGCTTCCATAAGAGACATCCATTTAATAACAATTTGTTCCTAATCATTGGACTCATTATTTTCACAAAGCTTTCATAAGGCATTTTACATTTATTCATTTTTTTATAATCATATTACATCAGAGACCGTAAGCTAATAATAATTCTATAAAGTAGTAATAATAATAACAATTACACAATGCAATAAAATAGCAAAAAGAAGTAAACATCAATAACAGTTTATGATTATAAATATAGATTTTCAGATTTTGATATAAATTTTTCTACCGATTTATAAAGTCGGAAGAACTATTTTATGCGAGATCATTTATATGCCAGACGTCATTACAGATATATTGTGATCGCGACAAAATATAAATAAGTATATCACGCGTGTTAGAGGATTTGAAAAGGGACTTCTTGGAAGGAACCTCTTAAGAGGAGGCCAGCTTTAGTTGACGGGGGTTCTCCTGGAAGTGAGCGCACTTTTATAAACTTTGTCGTGTACTAATCCTCCGCTCGGGCCTGATCCCTTAGCCAACTACGTCGGGGCTGGCCAATCGAGTGCCGTGACGCCGAGAAACTTCATCAGGTCGTCATTTCGCGTTTCAGGAGAGCGAGAACCGACGGGGAAGGATGGATGGAGAAAAGAAAAGTCGATCCCTACTTAGGTGTTCGCCTTTTTCTTAAGACGAGCGGCACATCCACCCACCTCCCCATAAATTGGATTACGATACGTGACGTCATTAGCGGCATGCTTTATTTGCAGACCACGACGCTCCCCGAGTTCCGAAGTTGAACGGCACATGCCGTCGGAATTGTTCGATGCCCCGCGTAATTTCTTGAAAAGAAGCTTCGTGGATTAATTTTGTTTCGAAATCAGAGTTTCTCAGAGATTAAAGTCAAAGAATGCTCGATTGTATCTTTCGAGTAAAAATGGGCCTACGGTGGTGAAAAACGCGAAAGCGCGACGGGCATCAATTTAACGCGTCACGTATCTAAATTCGCAATAGAGGAAATCAGTGTTATTTTTACTTCTCTAGGAAGGATCGCTGAAGCTTCCTGGTTTTTAATTAGTGCCGGGTAAAAAAAGATTTACCGGATAACCGAGGGCGAGCGGTTGCCCTCGTAGGATTAATAAATTAGCCGTAAGGTTTTAAAGCGACTACGTCGGTGGCTAAACTCGGGATTGAAAGGAAAAAGCGAGAGAAGCGAGAGAGAAAGAGAGAGAGAGAGAGAGAGAGAAAACGAGCGAAGGGGCAGATAATGGTTCCGGTCAACAAAATGAATACCGGCACGCGCTGTTCTTTCCGGATGTCTGAATAGACTTGTAACGAGTCGGTCAGACCTGCCTTCGTTCCTACCTTTCTTCTATTTTCTCTCGTTCTTTCTCACTATCTCCTCTCTCTTTGTCTCCCCTTAGATCTTATCCTCCTCTTCCCTTCATCGCAGATCCCTCTCTTTTCGTTTCTTTTACCCTACAACGGTGCCTGTAATGGAGCAACGAGAATCGGAGGGAAGAGGGAAAAAAGCGGGTTCACAAGGGGTGAGAACGAGGACGCCGGTCACCCGGAGGGTGAGCCCATGGTCGCGTTGTAATTGTGTTATTTTGTAGCCATTTCACGTGAGGGTCCGCGGAAGGGGTAGAGACGTGTATATAAACACCGGGATTGTTTTATTCGTCCAGCTTGCGCGACACGCGCCGAGACTTTCGTTCGGCGTCGCGAAAAATCATCGCAGTCGTCAAGATAATCGGGGAGAATTGAGCGCCCGCTGGTCGCTAATTATTAATTCGCCGTCAAAAGTCGTTAATCAGCGCAATTGAGTATTCACGTGTAATGGATGAATATTCACGCGAGCCCCAGAACGGAAGTGCACGTTGATAATAAATAATGCCTACGTTTCATTTTACTCTAGATTATAAATTGGATTTACTTGTACGTTTGCTTGAAATTTTCGTATTTTCAATATACTTTAGCTTCGTCGGTGATCAATTACTACTTTGCCAGATAAAAAGAGATGTGAAAAAATCTAATTAACGCGAATTAAAGTTTATAATATTAGGTGTAGTAAAAAGTCATCGCGTATTTTTTAGCTCAAAGTTGTATATACAATATCTTCGTCAATAATGAATGAAATTCAAATTTAAAAAAAGGGTTTTAAAGCTTGAAATCTCTACTTTTAAAAG